GAAATTATGCTGATGTAAATATGCCTCAAATGGAATATGTATGTATTGTGGATATCCATTTTATGTTATCACTAAATTCCTATTTTGTTATCAACCACCACGTTTACCAATCATGTTAACATTTTGATTAACTGCGTTGTTTTTTTGACAGCGTCTGAAGGTTCGTCATGAAACATGCATGTTCGTGTACCGAGGATGAGATGATATTGACTGACAATTCAGATGTATTTCCCGCTGACTCTGCAGCTGCTAAAACAAAACGGATCGTAGAATTCAGTGACGAGGTCAAAAAATGTCTTACCCTTCTCAAAGCCGGTATCAAGCACATTCAGGATTGTGAAGGTTTTCCATGTATCTCGTGTCTTAAAAGTATAAACGATATCGTCACAGTTTCTCGTAACAGGAAAATTGATCGGAACGCTGTAGGGGATGGCTTGGGCATTGACACAGACTACTGCAAAATGTTTACGTATACGTGGAAAAAAAGAGATATGTTACAGAAGATTGAAGACGCTGATCAACAGAAAAAACTATCACAAGAGACCACACAAATGTTTACATTTTATATGTCACTGCTTACTTCCGCTTGGGGCTTTACGGATACATCTGATTACTTCTGTTCACAAATGGACAAAGATGGGTGCCTTTCTTTGATTGTGGATTGGTTTTTACACCTCGTGAGGGATGATAAGGCAATGAACAAATGGGTAGATGACATGATGTTTCATGCAATAAACATGTTTGACAATGTCTGCAGAAAAGTGCCGTCTCTGGCTCCTAAGCACCACCGCGCCGTGCCTGCCTTCGAGAAGTTTAGCGAGTCGCAAGATAGCTTGACTCAGTCAAAATCATTCATGATATTGGCAAAGCTGGTGAAGAAAGAAGAGGCAGACAAGCTTTCCGCCGACTACATCTGTATCCTAACACTACTTTCGAAGTTGAAGGAATGTCTCTCAAATCCTGAACATGAGACAAAGACAAGTCGAAAAACATCCGACAAGAACATTGTGAGCGTGATTTCTGATAGTGCGGAGGAGTTAGTTCAAGCTGTAGATGACCTAACAATCAATGACAACAACAAACGGCTCGTAGTAGAACATGAAGGCATTCCTATCCTCGCTAAATTGCTTCAACGAGATTGTTCCGTGGTGGAGAAGACTTCTGCCGCCAACGTGGTCTGGAGACTAGCCTTTCTCAAGGAAAATAAAGAAAAACTGCGGAAAGAACATGATATTATCTACAGTAAGTAAACATTATTCACATTTCTCATAATCATGATAATATGGGAGGGGGATTTAAACAACTTCATACGTACACGAGGAGTCCTGATAACGATTATAGACTTAAGATAATAATAATGGATATATTTTTTGCTTAAGTTGATATCATAGGTGTAAGAAATGAAGGGGGGGGGGGTAGCCCCTAAAAAAATGGCTAGCCACTTCGATTTGTATAGCAAAGGTGAAAGGGGAGGGAGTAAAGAACGAAATCCGTTTATGAAAAGGAGTTTTAAGATTGAATATTCCCACCTTGGGCATTAATAACATAACACGTTGGGCAGTGACGTTCTTGGCCCACACGAGGCGAATATTTTCTTACCTCCATTTTAAGAGAAGAAGCATGTCTTGTGTTCAGATATAGAAGGGCGTTACTATGTGTTTAAGATCATATGTTAATGCCCTAGTAGCTACGAACTGACGATATAATATTTTCTTTTATTACCAAACAAGATCTGAGCGAGGGTTCCCGTCATAGAAACGAAAAACTCCGCGATGCCTGTGAGGGCGCCCTTTTCGAGATAAAAAAAACAACAGGTGTCGAGTCACCGCCGGGGGCGCCGCACAGTGGGCCAGGGAGGAACCAAAGGTAAAATTCTGATTTGTACTGGAAGGAATATTGGCATATCCCCGTTACGACAAATGACCGAAGGGAAAAACATGAAACAGATTAGGATTTGTAAGAATTCGACGAAATCACATCGTCTATTTCCAGGTGTATATGGAACATAGTTATTTTGTATTGACCACATGACACCGGCCATTTTAGGAATAAAGGGTAAATCTACCCTGATATGAATTTGGTTTTAACAGAAGTAAATAAATGAGCGAACCAGGTCGGTGAAAGTGTGAGCAAAAATTGAAAAAAAAGTTATGATTTGTTGACGGTGCGATCGATCAAACCAAAATTGGCAGCTCTGTGACTAATCTTGCGAGGCCCCCTCCCATTTCTTCTGTACTATTCAGAATGTGCAAGCAACTATAACATTATTACAATTTCGTTGTAGTACCTTGTATTAAAATGTTACCATTATTTACAATTGCCCATCTCCAAATTTATTACGGTTATGGATGACGATACGTTTTAACTGTTTCTAGTAACTTCCTACTAGATAAAACGTAACATACCTTAGTGCTTCAAGTATCATTACCACGGTCACAGGATTGAATTCCGATTCTGGACTAAACAGTCAGACCGCAGCGTGCGCGATAATGAGGCTGTACGCTGATTTTTATTCAGCGTCCTTTTGGTAATCTCGTACATTCACGTGCGCTGAAATTCACGAGATTTTCAGTGAGATTTGTAAGGGTGTACACGCAGCTGCTTTTGTGGTCGATAACTTTAGTCAAAATGGCAGCACGCAACGGTAATTACTCTCGAGATTTTCAGCTTCAGTTTGATATGAAAGTTGCAATATTTCACAATTTTGAAACAATCCTTTTTTACCACTTTTATTGTCGTTATTTTTGTAACATTTCAACAGCTATTTTGTACCCGGAATTTCGCTTTTGGTTCCTGACTTTGGTACATAATTAATTTGTTTACTTCGAGATTCGTTGGAAAGATAAAAAGTCACTGATCAAAATAATGTCAAAACCTAATTGACGCAAAATCATGTTCTCATTATATTCATAGTAATTAAGACCCTAAAAACCCGGAAATTACGAATTTGTTCTTTCTATGATGGCGCGAAATTGTGTGATTTCATACTCGTGCACGCTCGCCGTCTGAACAATGGCAATGCATAACTGATTGTTAAACTCCAGGGAGCTCCGCCGCGCCACCGACTGGCCGAACAAAATAAGAAAAATGATTAAAAAAGAAAAATCGTAGAAAATAATGATCTAAAAAGCAAATGATGTATTTGATACGGGCTTTTTAGATTGTTGTCATGACTCCTTGAGCGCACGTGGATTACCGGCGCACGCCACAAGGCAAGCTTATTAAAATGTGGATTCAGAATGTTAATGAACCAAAGCGGAACATATGTGACGTAGTTGACGTATTTGACCAATCAGAACTCTCTATTACCACATCGGCAAAGTTGACTACTTTTTTTAAATTATTCATGAACATTTGCGTGATTTGTCTTGGTTCCTGACTTTGGTACAGCGTAAAATATAATAATTTTGATATCATTGTAGAAAAAAATGCTGATTATAACATCTTCTTGACGAAAGCATGATTTCTATGTGAAAATCAGCCCTACTCTTTAGATAGATTTATTGTCGAAAAACCCCATTTTCAAGACGAAATATCTGTTTCCAAAATATATTTAACATGATTGTCATATAAGTATATGGAGAGTGCAACTTCTTATCTTTAAAATAAGACCCATTTCATGAGAAATGAACAATTACAAAGGCAAAAACTGCCGATCGGGAAGACCGTCTGCACTACTAATTTACGTATGCAAGACACGTAAATTCTTGCATACGTGCTGAATAAAATAGAGGGTTTTCGCACCGGCTGCGGTCTGACTGTAAAAGGGGAAGTAAATAGGTCAGTTAAAGTTTGAGAAAAAACGATTGAAAATAAGAAAGTTTGGAATTTTGGAAGGTGCGATCAACCAAAGACAAATTGGTACCATTGTGACGTATCTTGCGAGCTCCCCTCCCGTTTGCCCTTTACTAACAAACTCAATGGCCCGAATTCACAAAGCAAGGTTTGAGCTCAGACCAAGGTTTGAGCTCAAACCTCCTTTTGTTTCGCCAAACCTCCTTTTGTTATTTTCAAACCAGGTTTGTAAATAACAAAAGGAGGTTTGGCGAAACAAAAGGAGGTTTGAGCTCAAACCTTGGTCTGAGCTCAAACCTTGCTTTGTGAATTCGGGCCAATATATTTTACCTAAAGCCAATTTTCGATCATACATTTACTCTAAATACAATTATTGCATATAGGTTTTTAAGCAACCCCTGTATGAAATAACTTTGTTCCATCATCGATAAGTAAACAAACAGAATGGAAATGAAATGTTCTGTTCAGAGAAAATAGGAGAGGACCGCGCAAAATACGTCACAGTGTTGCCAATTTGTGCTTCACCGGTGTGAACTTTAGCAACTCATAACTTTCCTATTTTTTTTTATCAGATATTGGTCAAACTTCTACCCTTTTTTCTCTCATTTTCTGCTTTTATTACAACCAACCTTTTATGAGGATGATCTCTCCGTCAAAGACATGGATACATTTATTTCACTTGTATCATATTATTATTCATATTAGTATAAATCCAAATTTACTCTTATTCAATTTTTTTTTTTTAAATTAATAAAGTCGTTTCATTGACAGTTTCAATGTACATGAAAGGGTACTCTGTTTATGGGAATGTTGATTGGAGACTAAATCTATTCTGTTGTAATATAACTGGTATACGATATTATTCATCGTTTGGATTGCCGTCGTGTGAAATACACGTCGTGCGAAATACACTTTCATCGGATTACAAACATTATAATCTAAGAACTTTTAATTAAGAGTACATAACAATTTATATAGTGAATACAATATGGATTTGAAATTGCTACAAGCTGCCCTTTTTATAAAGGAAATAATACATGGTAAAATTGCACCAAAAATATACACAATAATAAAAGTAGTTGCATTGAAACTGAATGTTGTGAACACAGTCCCGTCACAAGACGAAGGTTTTATAACGTTACGATCTTGATTTCTTTACTCATGTATATTCTTGTATTTATTTGAATAGGAAAGTGAGCGACGAAATGCTAAATAACGTGGCAAAGGACGTTCCAGCCTACGCCTACGACCAGTTTAGCGAAAAGCTTGGAGTCAAGCACAACGAGGCCAGAAATATCTTGACAAAGTACCAAAGCGACTATAAGGAGGCAACGAGGGAATGCCTTGCGAAATGGACGGATAGATCAACCCGTAGTGTGGCTGAATTACATGACGTTCTGAGAGCAGCTGAATTGGGAGGTTTAATCGGTAACTGTAAGTAACGTCAATAAAAAGTAAGCCATGTGGGGACAGTTAACAGCTAACACGCACCCACATTCACGAACGCATAAACTGTACATTTTTTAGAGAGAATATTATGTTCGGCGACAGAGGAAATAAGCTTAAGACAAAAACACTTCAATACAAAACTATGATAACGAAATCGCCAATTACTAGGTAGGGGCATATCAAAATGAAAAAAAAAAAACATTTTAATTTCAAACAACTCTATAATTAATTAGCCTATGCAGAATATCTATATCGTTTCAAAAGATCTGAGCATGATTGTTGTTTAAAGTGCAAATGCACAAAAACCATTATCATTTATTTTATGACTGTAAGTACTCACAAATATTTTGGAACAAGGTCTTATTTTTTCTCCAAAAACAGAAGTAGTGTTTGATAATGACAAAAATGAATAAAGTGATATAGTGGTAGGTAACCAATGTGATTATATAAATTAAAAATATGTAGTTCTTAAAAATCTATAAATTAATTTAGCTTCTTATGTTTTTATATACGCAAAATAGACACGTCAAGCGAGGAATCACAATTATTGAGCAATGAAGAAGGAGTGGACGATGTGTCAAAAATATCAGACGAATCACCAGAGCTATTGGAACATCCCCTGAAAGGAAAGAACGAGACAGAAAAAAAACCAAAGCCAAATACATCGAAAAAACCACGAAAGCCAAATACATCGAAAAAACCACCAAAGCCAAATACATCGAAAAAAACACCAAAGAAGAAATAGAGCAGATCTACGATTAGTATCGTGTGTAGTAATTTTGTTTATCTCTTATATTTTCTATAATGGTAAATTGTCATGTTATTAGTTTAAATATACGCGGTTTGAGAAATAAAAAGAAACCAGATATTTCGATGGTTTAGACATCAGAAATCAGACATTCTCTTCCTTCAAGAAACTTACTGGTCTAGAGATATTGAAACAATTGTAAGAAGTGAATGGCATGGTCCATGTTTTTTTGCTCATGGAACCAATCACTCACGAGGAGTCTCAATATGTTTCAATGATAAATTAAATGTACAAACTATTGCAGTAAAATGTATGCTAAATGGTCAACTTTTGATGCTACAAGCCAAAGTTCATGATATGGATTTATTGCTAATAAATGTGTATGCGCCCACTCAAAAGCAACATAGGGAAGGTTTCTTTCGAAAGTTAAATTCTGAAATAAATAAACATTATAACCATGACCGTGAATTAATTCTAGGGGGTGATTGGAATTGTGTGCTAGACATGCACAACGATGTACGAGGAACGGAAAACAGATATTACAAGACACCCGTAAACCTCAAAAAGTTTGTTAAAAGATATGCTCTATGCGATGTCTGGAGACTAATGCATTTATATATCAAGCAATACACATGGAGAAACATATCTCTCAAGAGGGCTTCGAGATTGGATTTTTGGCTTGTATCTAAACAGATGAAGGTAAACACATTATGTACTGATATCCGTCCTGCCATCAGAACTGATCACAATGCTATAACACTTAAATTTTGTATCAAACAAAATAAAAGAGGACCAGGGTATTGGAAAATGAATACCGATATCTTAGATGATGTAAATTACAAAATGAAAGTTTCAGAAATTATCTATTCCTTTTGTGAAAATGAATACCCTTCCTCACAAAAAGGTTGGAAATGTTCAAGATTAGAATTCGTGAATTTTCACAACAATTCTGTAGAACAAAAGCACTCGATAGGAAAAATTATAAATTTTCATTAGACAAGATATTGTGTGATCTTGAAAAACAAATTGATGTCAGTGTACCTGATAAAGAAATAGAAAAAGAGTACACCGACACAAAGGAGAAGTTAGAGAAGATTTATAGACATGAATCTAGAGGAGCTGGAATCAGAGCTCGTATTAGGTGGATGGAAGAAGGAGAGAAAAGTACCAAGTATTTTTTGGGTTTAGAAAAGGGTAATGCAAAGAAAAAGGAAATTTCACAATTAAAACGTGGAAATGATAGTCGAATCGTTAGCAAAAATGAAGAGATTAGGGAAGAGGTTGTAAAGTACTATTCCAATTTGTATAAAGAAGAAAAGCATGATACCAAGAATATGAGCAATTATATTGGTTTTCAAAACATTAATCCATTATCTAACGAAAACAAAGAATTGTGTGATGGATTAATTACCGAAGAGGAATGTAAACGTGCAGTATTTGCAATGCAGAAAAACAAGACACCGGGATCAGACGGAATCTCTGTTGAATTCTATCAGTTGTTTTGGCCATAGGTAAAAACATTGGTGGTTGAAGCGTTGAATGAGTGTTATTCAACAGGAGTTATGTCAGACACACAAAAGAAAGGGCTCATCACATTGTTATTCAAGAAAGGTGATGCTCATGATTTAAAAAACTGGAGACCAATCACTTTGCTCAATTATGACTATAAAATAATGGCAGCGGTTTTAGCTGCAAGGGTACAGAAAGTCATTGGGGAAATTGTACATGAAAATCAGACAGGTTATATAAAAGGTCGTCTGGCAGCCAGTAATGTAAGGTTGACAAAAGACATCATTGAATATTTTACTAAAAATGGTCAAACTGGAGCAATTATGCTAGTAGATTTTTCTAAAGCATTCGATGTCCTAGATATACAATTTCTTAACTCATGTCTAGAAAAGTTTAACTTTGGTGAGTCATTTCGCAAATGGATCTCTGCCCTATATAAAAATATTTCAAGTTCGGTATTGGTTAATGGTTGGATTTCCAAAAGTTTTGATGTTGAAAGAGGCATACGACAAGGACGTCCATTGTCAGCACTTATCTTATCTGCCGAGCTCATGGCAAACAAAGTGAGAAAAAATAATATTATTAAACCAATAGAAATGGTCGAGTATGACCTTAAACTAAAGTTGTTGCAATATGCCGACGATACATTATTTTTTGTTCCGGATGAAACTTCATTAAATGGAATGTTACATGAACTGAATCAGTTTGGCGAAGTAGCAGGTCCAAGAATAAATAAAGAAAAGACAGCCATGATATGGCTAGGAGACACTGATAGAAGTTGGAATTTAGAGAATCATGATCTGAAATGGTCCCACAAACTTATAAGATACTTAGGTCACTACATATATTTTAATAATAATGAAGCTCTAAAGATGGACTGGGAGCAGAAGTTAATAAAAATGAGGAAAATTCTTGATAGCTGGACAAAAGGAAGCTTAACCATTTTTGGAAGAGTCACGGTACTGAAAAGTCTAGCACTTAGCCAAGTTACTCACTTGATCATGGTTGATTCCATCCCTCCAAACTTTTTGAAGTTGATAGAAGGCATTATATTCAAATTTATTTGGAGTGGGAAAACAGAAAAAATCAAAAGGGTTTCTCTTATTGAAGACTACAGTAAAGGCGGTATAAAAATAGTTAGGTAGATTTTTCAATGAGAGTAATGGAGCATGGAAAACATTTTTTTCTTACTGGTTTAACTTATTGGGAAGCATCAAGCTACTGCCGAACTGCTCTTATAATATAACCACACTTAATGATATTCTAGTTCAAAAGAAAATTCCGTCATTTTACGTAGAAATCTTAAAGTCATGGGAAATGATTATATACTGCACTACAGTGAAAGATGTTTGTATATCTATACATGAACCAGTTAAAGTTTCAGATCAGATTATTTGGCACAAACAAAACATGTGGTGTATGATAATCAGTCGCTCTTTTATAAAGGCTGGTATGACAGTGGTCTAGTATTTTTAGGAGACCTTTTTACGAGAGATGGCTTTCGGTCAACAGAATATATTAAATCGCAGGTGCATTCCAAACGAAAATGCAATGCAATGTTTGACTATGCAAGACTTAAACGAGCGATACCTCCTGTATGGGTCAATAGTTTAAAAGAAGAATTTATGCATGATTATACTAGACAAGAACATGAAAACAATGTTCCATATCTGTTGGTGGCAAATAAGGTAAAACATGTTACTGATATAAGTAGCAATCGTTTCTATAAACTCATTCCTTCGAGAACTGTATTAACTAACACATGTTGCCTTTATTGGGTAAAAAAAACTTAATGTATATATTGATTGGTCTAAGGTATTCAAGCGTAATCTTGCTCAAATTAGAGAAAGCAAATTACGAGAGTTTAATTTGAAATTACTGTATAACCTATTGCCAGTAAGAAGTAATCTTTTCAAATGGGGAATATCCAATGACGATGTATGCCCAACATGTAATATAAAAGAGGATATGAATCACGCATTTATAGAATGCAAACTAATTGAGCCCTTCATTAAACATATCAAAGAAATATTAAGAGATATATACAAAGTAAGGATACTGACGCTCAATATCCAACACCTACTCAAAATAGATTGTGAAAGTCATTGTATATTATTCTTTACAATATCATTTTGGACCATTTATAAATTGATTGTTCAACGAAATATAACTGGGATAGACAAGAGAAAAGTTGCTTCTAAACAAAATCTCTATAGAGAAATTACAAAAAGAATGGAAAGTAAATCAAACTTAAAGATGAACAGAAAGCTTTTACCAAAATAACTGTTGGGTGTTATTTAAGAAAATAAAAGAAAAGAAAAAAAAAAAAAAAAAAACAAAAGAAAGGGAATCAAAACTATCAGTATAATTTGTTTGTTAAATATGATTCAATTGCTTTGCAAAGCAAAACTTAATTTCAATTCTCTGTTATGACAATAATAATGTATTTGCGATTATGTAAATTTTATTTGTAGTATTGTATCTTTGAATGTAACCATGTATATATAATCAATAAATCCTCTGATGAGGCAAAACAAAAAAATATTTACACAAAAAAGAAAAGGTAATTTTACAAATATATTCGACATTTACTTAAAGGAAATATTATGGAGGGCAAATGTGAAAAAAAATGTTGATTATGTTAAACAAAAAAGTATAATTCCTTTTGTGATATAAGTATAATTCATGTTTTTTTTTTGTAATCGAGATAATTTTGTGTCTCTGATGT